GCCAGGGAGGGAGCCAGGTCGTGGTGCGGGGGAATGAGATCACCGTGTGGAAGGCACGCTGGATTCGGGCCTTTGTCCTAGGCACAGTGAGGAGCGGGCGTCCTGGTCAGACCTGCGTTAACATGTCTCTGGCCCCAGGATGGGGACTGCGGTGGCCGTGCGGCCACACGTTTCAAGCCATCTCTGATCCCAGGCGCACTGACCTCATTGCTAGCGGGTTTCGGCCCCCGGTCACCAGCCCTCTCTCCAACGCTACTTCTGGGTGAATTCCTATGAATCTTGACAGCCACGCAGAAGCCCCTTGCACACCCCACCCCTGGGTCCCGTGGCCTCCACCCACCAAGGCCTCTGCCTCCTATGGCCCTGACTGACGCCACGTCACCACCAATAAATGCAGCATCCACGAAATCTCGGTTCACACATTCCAGCCCACTCCCTTAGTTCCCTGATCTCACTAACCTTCAGAGCCACAGATCTCAGCCTTGACCCCTCAGCTAGAATCCTCCTGGCCATCCCCTGTAAACCTAGCCCTCCACACCCTCCACCGCGGCGCTCAGGCTCACTGTGACTGGAGAGAAGCAGCCCCGGTCGTCTCACCTTGAATTCCAGACCCCAGTGGCCCTTCATGCCACCTGGCCGAGGCCACGTTCCCCACCTGCTCAGCCTCCCCCATGTTCCCCCCGACACCTCCCCTACCCCCACCACCCATGGCCAATGGCCTTGGCCTCCCACTTCACGGGAAGTGTCGGCACAATCAGAACGAGCTTCCTAGGTCCCGTTCTAGCCCCACCCCATGGCCGCGCCCCTGGCAGCACCTGCTTCCCCTGCACCAGCGCCTCCTCTTCACCAGGGCCCAGCCCACTCTGCTCCCCAAGAACATTGCTCCAGGAATCCCCTCTTCCTGGCCTCTCAGTCTTCCCTCTCTGCCAGAAGACTCCTCCAAACATGCTCCTACATCTCTCCTCTTAAACACCCACTCGGGACCCCATGCCCCCAAAGCAACTGCTCTGTTCCCCATGGGGCAGAACTCCTCAAAGCACCCCCTGGCCGCATTCTTCCGGTTACTCCTCTCTGAAACCCTCTCCAATCTGACTTCTGCTCCCATCTCTGCCGGGACGTGCCTCTGCGTTGCAGATCCAGTGGTCAGTTCTTGGTCTTCTCACCTGACCCTTCAGTGGTACAGTCACTGTGCACTGTGCACAGGTGACCGCTTCCTCCTGCAGACACTGTCTCCACTTGGCTGCCTTCTCTTCTCCCCAGCTTCTCAGGGTTAGGATGTCCCCAAGCACCATGTGTGCCGAGCTGAGCTCCTGTCCTTCCAGCCAAACCTGCCCCCACCACGGTCCCGCACCTCTGTTGGTGGCAACTCCATCCTTTCGGTTGCTCAAGTCAAATTTGGGGCATCTTCCTTGACCCACCGCTCTCACACTCCACACTCTGTCTGCGGGAAATCCTCTTGGCTCTACCGTCACAATCAATCCAGAATCCAGCCACTCCCACCACCACCTGAGACCACCCACTCTGAGCCACCAGCACCTGTCCCCTGCATCACTGTGACAGCCTCTGGACTCTACCCCTGCCAGCCCACGTGGCGGGATCTTTGCAAACCCGAGCCAGGTCACGTCCTCTCTCTGCTCTAACCCTGCAAGGGCTTCCGTCTCAGAGAAAAGGTAAAGTCCCAAGAATGGCCAATAAGGCCCTACCCATTGCCTCTCTGAAGCCACCTCCCACCCTTTGGCCTGTCGCTGTCCCGTAAGCACACCAGCACCCTCCTGCACTCAGGTCTTTGCACTGGCTGTTTCCCTGCCTGGCACGTATTTTTTCCGGGAATCTGCATAGCCAAGTCCTACACTTCTTTGAAGGCTTTGTTCAAATGTCGTCTACCCTGACTACCCTATCGAATATTCCAGTCTGCCCCCAGCACTGACAGCTCCCCTTTCCCCGCCAGTAACACTGGTCACTTTCTGGGTGATTTACTTATTTATTACACTTATTATATCTCGTCTGTCTCTCTCACTAGAAGGTAAGCTCTGTCAGGACAGGGACTTTTGTTATTTTCACTGATGTACCCCACGTGCCCAGAGCTGGGTCTGGCAGAGAGCAGGTACCAGAGTGAAGAGGGAGACAGGTCGGCTAGGAAGTCATCGCAGCAGTCTAGAGATGGCGGTGACACGGACTGGGCTGCTGCTGGAGAGAGAGGAGTGGGCGGGCTCCAGAGCCAGGGCGGTGGATGCGCTGACAGGGAGGGAGGAGAGCGTGTCCAGGTGGCTCCGCGTTTTCCAGTTCACACGGTCCGATGGAAGGTGACATTGCTCATGGAGACCAGGAGCTGGGGAAGAGGAGCAAGTCTGGGCAGAAGATCATATGTGCAGCCGCGGACTTCGTTTGAGGAATCTTTGAATTATTCACGGGGAAATGCCAAGGGGCAGGTTGGAAAGGAAGCCTGGCACTCCCAGGCCCAGCCTGGGCTGGGGGGACAGTGGGGCCTCTTCTGCATGGTAGCCGTGAGCGGGGATGAGGTCCTTCAGGAAGACAGGAGCGGAGACAGAGACGCGCAAGGGGGGACGGAAGAGAAGAGAGCCCAGACCAGAGACTTGAGGAGCCTGTGCACGTGGGCCTGTAGAAGCCACTTGCACATAGGGCTGGCTGCAGAGTCAACCAGAGAGTCAACCAGAGAGAAGGGAGGCGGGAGGAATGTCACTTGTTGTCGGGACGCCAAAGGAAGACAGCACGTCAAGAAGGAGGGCCCAGTCACAGCCAGGACGCTGCCAGGAGGGCGAGTAAGATGAGGAGGAGAAGCATCTGTTGGGTTTACTGACTGGAGGCAGATCATGGAGACCTTGGTGGGAGCTGTCTTGGTGGTGTGACGGGGATGGGGTCCAAACCAGAGTCACAGTAGGAGATGAGGGGTCAGGGACCAGGAGTGGCTGTGAGGGAGAGAGCAGAGACAGGGCAGTGATAGAACAGGGCGCGGGACCAAAGGACGGCTTTGTCATCAGAGCAACTAGAGCAATTCCAGAGCTATTGGGAAGGATCCACCTGCGAGGGGAGCTTTGCTGTGATGGGCAGAGAGGGAACGGCGGGCAGGGCTGGGCCCCAGGGAAGGTCAGAGGAAAGAGGCCCTAATCCAAGGTGGGTCAGTTCCTCTGAGTTAAGCAGAGGGGCACAGAGAGGAGGACGGGGTGGGCGCAGGGGCAGGAGCAGGGGCAGGAGCAGGGGCAGGTGGGGTGCAGGCACCCATGACTAGCACTGGAAAGGTGATGGGGAGTCTGCTTGTTTTCTTGGGAAAACATTATAGGAATCAAGGTCCTCAGCTGAAGTGAGGAGTCAGCCTTGTGGGGTGTCCCAAGTCACCAGCACCCTGCTCTGTGCCCTAGTCTGATGTAGTCAGGAAACCACAGTCCCCACGTCACCATTCCTGGGTATGAGTACGTCAGTTTTTCATGCCAAAAATCCTTGTCGTCTCTCTCCTTCCCCTAGGCCCCCGTGCCCTACCATTAGCTCAGTCAATAAGCTCTGTGTCTCCTCTCTGACCAGCGTCTCCTGACCCTCACACCTCCGCATTGCCAAGCCGGTGCCCGCACCCAGGCCGCCAGCACCTGCCTGGGGACACCTGCAGCGCATCTCCGAGGCCTCTCTTGCCCACTCCATGCAATGGCTGCCACTGCCCTCAGGACCCAGCCCTCCAGATCACAGCGTGAAACAAGGCCCTGTGCTTGGCTGGCCCTGCCTTCTCCCGGGCCCTCCCTCCACTTCTCCTAGCTGCTCAAAAGCCCATGACCTTGGCACGTCCTGAGCTCTTCGCCTCTGCAGCGTTCTTCCCCAGACAGTCAGTTCCCACTCCCCTGCCGGTCTTGGCCTCTCTGCCTTCCAGAGTCGGCCCAGCCTCAGGACTCGTCAAGTCCCTCGTGACGCGCCTGCAGCGTCCCGTGCTCCGCCCCCCGCCCCGGTGTGATTGTCGTCCTCAGTATCCTTCTGCTTAGTGGACGTTCTGTGACTCGGGTTTCGCCGCTTGTACTCACTCCTGGGTCCCCCGACCTGCCCCTCGCTCCTGGCTCGCGCTTGACATTCCGTAAATACCCACTGGCCGACTGAGCGCTGAGTGCTGCCTGCCGGGGCGGGCCTCATCCTCAGAGCGAGGTTTGGGTCTGATGGGGCAGAGCAGGCAGCGGCATGGCTTAGGCAAAGCGCACCTGGGTGGCAGTCGGGAGACCCCCTTCCTGGCTGAGCTCCACCCCTAACCAACGACGTGGCCTTGGACAAGTCCCTCCTCCCTGTGCCTCTGTGTTGTCAGCTGTCGAACGGAGATGTTCGTCATCCCTCTCACAAAAGCTTGTTGGGAAAGTCAAATGCAACAGTGGATAACGCAACACACTTTGCAAACTGCAAGGTGAAGCCCCTGTGGGTTTCTCGTAAGTGCTCTCCGTGAGCCCTCGTCTGGTGGGACCGTCCCAGCGGCAGCACCAGCCCGCGCCTCCAGACTCGCCCCTGCCACTTCCCGTGCACACCGGACCCCAGGCTGGGCCTTGGCACCCCCACGTCTGCTCAGCCGCACACATCTGCATGCCCTCCTTTGCGTTCTTCCCTCTGCCCAAAATGCTTGCTCCCCTACGTCTCTCCCCCTCAGTGGAAACGCGCCCACCCCTGGTGAGCACGAGGACTTGTTCTTCAAGCAGGAACAAGGTCTGATTCCCACTGGAGTTGCCAGAACCCAAAATGGGGAAGCACCAAGCAGCCTCGTGAAACGAGCGCATGAGCCAGTACACGTGGCACTGTCACTGCCACTCACATGACCCCCGGCCCTGCCAAGGACAGAGGTGCTCCTTCTTCTCTACCCTTGGCTTTGGGACTGACACTTATTTGCAAGGCTGTGGCAGGAAACAGCCATGACAGCTTCAAATCCTTGTGAGGAGAGGTGGCCAGTAGCTGTGCTGAGGACAGCCAAGGGGTCCCTCTCTCCCTTCGACGCTGACTGTGGCTTCTCTGCTTGTGTTTTACAGGTCCTCCAGTAAGTGTCCTGGACTGTGCTCTCTGCTCCTGAAAGATAAGACATTTGGTATTTTCTCTGTAGTGCCTCCATGAAAATAATTTTCGGTTAGAGGGGTGTGTCCTTAAAAAAAACTCAGTCCTAAACAGGGGCCATATTATTTTTCAATTTGTAGGTGAATGCAAGCAGTGAATTCCATGGGCTTGACTTGCCCTGAAACATTCTGTGACCGTTTTCCTTCCAACAGAGCTGGCCCACGCCTGGCCGCGCCTCACCAAGGCTTTGGCTTGACTTGGTGGGCAGGATGCAAGCACCATGCCCATGGTTTTGAAATGCTCTGCGGCAATTGATATTTTCAAATGTTTTTGTCTCACATATGTTGGCAGAAAGGGCTCTAGAGTGAGGCACTTGTTCCAGGAATAAGTTGGGCTTGATCAACAGACCCTGGGGCCATTTTTCTTTTTTGCCAGAGGATGGATTGGACAGCTGAGACCTCGTGAGTGCCCCTGGCTGGTGAGGGGTGTGCAACGGAGTAGAGGGAAAATGTGGATACATTTACAGGGGGTGTGAGCGGAAGCCCCGGGCAGCGCCCCGAACTTCCCTGGGCCACCGGAGGCAGCTCTGACTGCGGGGGTTTCCAGTGGCCCTGGAAATTCCATCCATTCACCGGGGCGCAGGGTCCGTCCACCTCTGATTCATCCTGGCAGTTTTTCAGGGCCCAATAAATCCCCGAATCCATTCAAGAAGCCCATTGACAGTTGGCCTGGGCCAAAACCAACCTTCTCAAGAAATGCCTTTCAGATGAGCCATTACATTTTTGACTTCCACTTACCATGATTCATTTCCCGATCAGTACCTTCCGGAATCTGGGCTGCTTGATGCATGTAGCCCCACACTGAGCCAAAAAGCAAGCCAACAAAAATGTGCAGATTTATTGGCCGCAGCAGTGTTTCGCAGCTAAGCTATTCCTGGCTGTGCCTTGGAGGCTGGCTTGTGTGAACTTGCCGAAGTACGTAACACAGGGGCTGTAGAGTGATTTTTTTTTAACTTGACTATTAAAATGTTAAAGGTATTAAACAAATGCAGACATTCTCAAGCTGCAACCTGAAAGGGGCATGAGGGGGAGACAGCTGCCCACATGCAGGGCAGGGGCTGGGCACTCAGTGCTCCGAACAGGCCTGACCCATGTCAGGGGGCCCAAAAGCATCCAGTAGCAGCAAATGTCCCCTTAGCTCCAGCTTCTGAGGCTCTCTTTCTCGGTTCACTCGTCCCAGTGACAACTGGGAGGGAAAGAGGATCTTCCCCAGGCCCCTGTGTGGGCCCAACTTAAGGAACATTTCAGTTCCTGGTCCGATCCTGTCCCCACGTGGTGTTTGTCTGCACCCTGGCGACGTGGGGAGGACAGCATGGGTGTGGGGCCCTCCAGCCTGGCCCTCTGAGGCAGGAAGGGGAGCTCTGTCCCCAGACCCACCGGGAGCGCTGTGTTCTCCCAACCAGCAGCCTCTGCTGCAACCACGCGGAACGTGGCGGGTACCCGGGGCCCTGGTTGAGTTCTAAGTGTTGCCATATGGTTTTCTGCCGAAAGTCTGATTATTAATGACGTATTAATTACCACAGGGGCAATCAGGACGAGATGGCTACCCGGTAATTTGTCGTTTATTTTTTGCTCTCTTTGCCCTTTCCTCTGACGCCGACATTCTCCCCTGAGCCTTGATTCCTCCCTGTCTGCGCTCCTGCTTCCTCCGCTCCTCCCGGAGCTTTCTGCACAGGGCTTGGCGTGAGCTCCCTGGCCACACAGCTGCCCTCGAGGCAAAGCAAGGCGGCTTCCAGACCAACAAGCCACTTCCCGCCTGCAGAGGCAGAGCAGAGGGCCAGCCCGCGGCTGCGGGGGGCCTGCTGGGTGGGCTGGGCCTCAGCCCGTGGGCAGCTCATCCCCTGTCCCAGCCACCACGTCACATCACCACTCAGCAACAGGAGATTGGCTGGCTCTAGTCCGGCCTCTGTGGTGTCAACCTTTCCCAGATCTTTTCCAGTTTAACCAAAAGTCAGCTCACACTTGGGGTAGACGTCCCCAGCCCCGGCCGGGCGAGTGCCACGTTAGCATCGAGATGTGATGCGGCTGTGCCAGCAGCATCTGGAAGTCCTGGGACGGCAGAAAGAGTAGGGGTGAGCCCAGGGGAAGGAGCGCTTGGCGCGTGAGGGGCAGATTTGTTCTGCGCTCCCAGGACAGCGCGATGCAGGGAGGGAAATGCTGGGTCACAGGCCTGACCAGCGCCTCCAGAGGCGGCGGGTAGGAGTCTAGTCCTGAACGACAGGAAGGCCTGAGCGTGGATTCCACGCTGCTGCCACCTGGCTGGGTGGCCCTGGAAAAGGCGCTCGTCCTCTCTGAGCTTCAGTTTCCTGCCCTGTGACGGAGTGACGAAGGCCTCCCCACAGCGTCGGAATTAGGACTGCACGAGGCTGAGGAGGCGATGACTGCACAGAAAGCACAAAACGTGTCCTGAGCCCAGCCCTGGAGGACTCGGGGGGCACGCACCCCGTGCAGCTCCCCCAGAGCGGGCAGCAGGCAGCCCGGCCTCTCAGACCAGAAACGTCGGCTCTGTGGGACGCAGAAATGAATTGTGAGAACAGCCGTGGTCCCTGATGAGGCAGGACTCGGGCTCCCGACTCCTGGACAGGGGGCCGGGGGCTTGGGCACCGGCAGTCTTGGGGAACCACTGGAAAGTTCGGCCTTGCGCCTCAGGACTGTGGCTTTACCAGCTCGGAGGACTGGGAACTTTCTAACAGAGCCACTCCTGGCATGGCCTCGTGGTTAACTTCTACCCTCAGGGTTGCTCCTTTCCGTATTTTTGTGGGTCCAGACAGGAGTGGGTGGTGAATGGGTGAGCGGCTTTCTCCCCTCGTCCGCCACTGCTGTGTCCTCGGTGACCCGGGAGTCCTGGTGAGGGAAGGGTTGCTCTCAGCTCGGCCACCCGCCCAGGCCCAGGGTGGGATGGCGCAGTGGGGACAGGCGGGAGGGGTGTGGGACGTGGTGTTAGGTAGCTGGAGTTGAGTCTCACCTTTGTCACTCACTTGCTGTGCAGCCTCGGGACGGCCCCCAGCTGAGAGCACCACACTTCGAGTCAGAGCAAACCCTGGCTGCTCCTGCAGGGTGTCACAGCCTGTCGGGGAAGCAGACATGAAGTTCGGCTGCGTGAGGTGTTCAGCCCCTCACGTATGAGCCGGCCCAGGGAAGGGCTCTGTGAGGGCTGGGTTGGGGAACTGGGGCTTGTCCCTCAGGCACAGAGCAGGGAGCTTTCCAGGAAGGCATTGGGTTAGGGTCCAGAGCCTTCCCACTCGCTGTGTGTGGGCAGCCTGGCAGCCAGCGCCCTGGTCCAGAAACAGCTCCCCTGGTCAAACGGCAGGCGGGGCCCGGCGAGGGGCGAGCGGACCCTATCAGTCTCTGGGCAGCTGGCGTCCCAGCCCATGAGTGCCGTCTGCCCGAGGTCATCCGGCTCCAGCTTACAAGCAGACCCCGGCCTCTGTGCAGATGTGGGCGTCTTCCCTGGCTGGGCTGGCCCGCTGCTGGGCGCGGGGTGTTCGTGTCGCCTGCACCGGGAGCAAGCCACTCACCAGCTGTGTGCCTCTAAGCCCCTGGTTCTGGCACTGCCATTCAGGGTGGGGCTGCTACCCTGCTTGGCTTCCCCAGCAGGGAACAGCTGCACCATGCAGGGAGGGGAAGGACTTCTACAGCCTCCTGGGACCTCTGTGTTTTGAGCCAAAATTCCCATCTCTTGGCCTGTGGAGGACAGGAGAGCTCTACAGGCTCTCAGCGCAGAGAGCGTTTGCAGATGGTCCGTGTGGCCATCCCAGAGGTCAGGGCGACTGCCTAGTGCTGAGGGGTCTGGGCCACCCAAGAGGCACCTCGTGTGGAGGAGCAGCATGGGCTTCCAGTCAGTCACTGTGTGGACTAGTCAGCTACCTGACATCTGGGACCTGGGCAATCACACCTACTGAGTCAGAAATTAGACGAGGTGTCACACATGGAGCCGCCCTGGTCCACTCCAAGATGTGACAGCCCGCCCATCAGTGTCACTATCTTCCTCATTGCCGAAAGCCTCAAGAAAAGGAAAGACAGGTTTAAGAAATCATTCCAATCTACTCATTTGCAATACTTGCAATATTTGGACAGGAAAATGACTTTGAGAATGGTTTCTTTAGAAAAGAGGGTTGTTCCTGTAGCTTAGTGAACTCCAGGGCCAGCCTCGGAGGATTGCTTTTCTCCTTGTGCCAAAACCTTATCGCTTCCGAAGGAAGTGAGGGCAAGAAGAGAGCGGCGTGGTGGAGACCGTGTCCGTCTCAGCTGCATTTTCTGGATTAACTCAGGCTGCCCCTGCGCTAAACCAGGTCCATATGTGGACCCAACAGGAGTGGCTGGGGGACACAGGGCACAGGGCCACCCTCCTCTGTGGGGCAGGCTGTGGACTCAAGGTAGTCAGAGCTAACGAGGGCTCTGGGGTTACTGTATTATGAGACTTTTCCACACTGTTAAAATCCCTCATAGAATTTGATCATATTTAATATGTATAATTTATCTAATCAGTCTCCAAGTTATATTATTTATATTGACAATTTTTCACCCTTATAGTCAACATCCTGGGAAGAAGTGTAGGCTTATTTCCATGATTATTTCCTTAAAATAAATAAGTAGATGTCGAGTTGCTGCACCAAAGGGATTGCACATGTTTAAGGCTTTCGATGTGTACTGCCAGATTGCCCTCCGGGAGGCTGTGCTAATTTACATCCCACCAACAGTGAACGAATGCTGCATTTTTCTCCAAACCCTGGCCAACTGTGGGTATTATCATACCTTTAAATCTATGCCAATGTAAGTTTAAAAATGTATGTGTATATATTTGTGTATTGTTTTAATTTATGGTGTATTTTAATTAGAAGTATAATGATTAAACCAGTTTGATGGGGAGGTTTGTGTAATCCTAACTGCCATCTGGTGGTAGAGGTTGGAATTGTAGGCATAGAGTTTAAAGAGTAAGTCCCCAAACAAGAGCTTTCGGATCCCAATGCGTCCAGGCACAGCAGACATCATGGAATCAGTAGCACAGGAATGATTACGATCTCAGAACATTGTGAATCACAGGTTGGACCTATGCAGGAACACTGGACATGGCACTCTTGCGTTTTTGGGTAGTGATTAGCATTTGTATTGATGAAGTGGTTTTGTCATCTCTTAAATAGAAGGCTTGGCTCTATTCAACACATCTGGGTGATGTCACACCCTGTGCTGGGCACTGGGGTGGCACAAAGATGGATCGGGCCCCGTCACAGTCTTTGGAGAGCCACGTGGGAGGGGGACTTTGCCATGGGAGAGGGAGGAATGAATAATTAGGAATTCGGTGTGATCTTCCTGGAGGTGTCTTGTTTATCACGGCCCCTTTTTTCCTCTCTGAATTGGGCTTCTGTCTAAGACGAAAAGATTTGCCTCTCACACAGGGCTTAATCTTGCCTATACCTTGACTTTTGCACAGAAAACATTAGATTTTCTCATCGTCTATTTACAACATCATAATTTTTGCTTTTCCTCTTCTTTGGTATTTTGATTTTCTTAACTACTGAGCTTTAGTGCCTTTCTGGTTTGTTCTACACATTCAGAAGGCGAGGAATAAAGCAGGGCTGTGATGACTGTGCTAGCTGGTTGGATTAAATAATCAGAAGGCTCTCGGGGAAAGTGACATTTGAACTGAGACTTAAATGATGAAAAAGGTGCAGGGATCTTGAAGGAGATGTGTTCCCATCAGAGAAAAGCGAGCGCACAGTCGCGACGTTCGAGTAAGCTTTGTGTGTCCAGATACAGGCAAGCCCGGAGTGGCAGGAGTGAGTGAGCACGTGACGGGGAAACGGCAGAAGGCGAAGCCAGAGGCCTCCCAGGGCTGCCCCGAGGGCACCTTGCAGGCCACAGGGAGAGGTCGATGTGGGGGAGTGAGTGGAACCTGGCTCTGTGTTTATAGAAACCACTTGTCCCCGGAGACAGACTACCAAGGGGTCTGAGAGTCCCCCTCTCGATGCTTCCTGTGGAGCAGAGAAGAAAGGACTGTCACCTTTTATGCCCCCAAACCCTTCTAACATGCCAGGGAAGCAAGTACAAATACTGAGTGCTGGCTGGATGCATACCCACACATGCTATCCACCATGGAAGGCCAGTGGTCTTGGCCCTACTTGAAAGATGAGCAATCTGAGCTCAGAGAGTGACGGGACTCGGCTGAGACGCCGGCTGCCTGCATGCCGACGCCCAGATTAGCTCCCAGGCTGCGGGATCTCGCTTATCACGCAGCCAGCCAGCCCAGCTGGGAGCTGGTTGCGGCAGCGAGGCTGGGGCTTGAGCACTGCGTGTTGGTGGGAGGGTCCTTCTCCTCTCAGCAGCCAGAGAAACAGATCGTTAGAGTGAATGTTCGGTTTCTCCAGCTCATCCCTGTTTTTGTCCAGCCCTGGAGCGCTCTTCCTGATACCAAATTCACCCTCTATTAGCAAATTGTCAAGACAGTTTTCTGCTTTCAGAAACAAAAACACAAACCCAACTCTAATTTAAATAGAGTCCATTCTCCATTTCACCTTCTCTCCCGTTCCTCCTGTGTACGTACCTCTGTGTC